CCCCAAAACCCCAAAACCCCAAAACCCCAAAACCCCAAGAAGGGGCGGCGATGTGGAAAGATTAATAATATAATATGGAAGAAGAGAAAAACAGCTCGACGAGTAGTGATGAGATTGAGGATGAGTCTATTTTAGGAGAGTTTGGTGTGCAAAAGAAGTTCTTCTTTATATTCTGGAAGAAGTATGACCTTGTAGTTACTGATATGAGGTTAGTTATCCTCTACAAAAACGGAGACTTAGACAACCAAGATGATATCAAAAGAAGCATTAGTTATCCTAAGATCAAGGGGATCACCAAAAGTACAAGCGACAACCCGACTAGTTTCGTAATTCATTGTAGGAACATGGAGGATGAATACCTCTACTGAAAAGACATCAGTGAGCCCCTTGAATTGATTAAAAAGGTCTATGCCTCCTTATCGAAGAAGAATTTACCGATATTTGGAAAGCCAACTAACGATCTTGCCACCTGGACTACCACCTATAAGGATGCAATGATAGGGATCTCTAGAATTCCTTTGAAAAGGGAGAGACTTAAGGATGAAAGAGTCCTCACAGATGAGTCATCCTCAGACGATGATGAAGAAGAGAAGGAACTTTTCAACGAATTCTTCCTCATTGACAGAGAAGAATGTCTAGAAGCCATTAAGGACAACGAAGATTGGAATGACGATCGCCATATTAACAGAGAAAACAAGAACATGAAGGATGGAAAGTCTAAACTAATCTTTACAAAAAATTCCAAGAAGGAAGAGTCTAAAGAAGACCCTACTACTCTTGAAGATTTTGAAATCCTTAAATTGATCGACAAGGGTTCATTCGGAAAGGTATTTTTAGTCAGAAACAAGGACAACCAAAAATGATATGCTATGAAGAGAATTAGGAAGGATATTCTCATTGAAAAGGGACAAGTTCAGAATACTAAAAATGAGAAGGAAATCTTACTCAACATTGAACATCCTTTCTTGCTCGGAATGGACTTTGTCTTCGAGAATGATCATAGGATCTACTTCTTCCTTGACTATGTTAAGGGAGGAAACTTGTTTGAAAGCTTGTTTACAATTAGGAGATTCCCTGAAGAAGCTGTAAAGTTCATTGCAGCCCAACTAGTGCTAGCTATCAGCTGTTTGCATAATAATGATATTGTTCACCGAGATTTAAAGCCTGAAAATGTTCTTCTTGAAGAAGATGGTTACATCAAACTAGCAGACTTTGGGTTGGCCAAATTCTTATTTGATCATAAGCAACCCACTTATAGTTTCTGTGGCACTGCAGAGTACCTCGCACCAGAAATTTTGGAGATGAAAGGCCATGATTTTGCAGTTGATTGGTGGACATTAGGCATTCTCATTTATGAGCTCAGAGTTGGAAGACCTCCATTTTTGGACAAAAACCATCAAAGATTGGGTAAATTGATTAAAAAGGGAAAAATCATTTTCCCAGATCCAATAAGGCATAAAATTGACATGTCTGAAGAACTGAAAGACTTAATTTTGAAATTTTTAGACAGAAACCCAAAAGAAAGAATTGGGTCTAGTGGACATGACGACATCTTTGACCACCCTTGGTTTGCAGATATTGACTTTGAGGCCATAAAAAACAAAGAGGTAGATGCTCCTTACAAACCCGATTTGAAGAATAAGATAAAGAACCCTAATAGTCATGACTACAGTAAGCACCCATTAAATTTACCTTTTAATAAAATTTCGCCAGTAATTTATCATTTTTATAGAAAAAGCAGAAGAAATGGTAAGGACTGAGACCATTCTTGAGAGTAAAGCAAAGGACCTGATCGAAAGCAATGTCGATAAGTTCGACAAATTCTAAAGTTATCACTTAAATTGTTTGCTTCAACCATCTTTAATAGTCGTGGGGTTTTGGGGTTTTGGGGTTTTGGGGTTTTGGGG